GACACACAGACACTCACACAGACACACTCACACACACTCACACACACACAGACACACACACTCACACTCACACGCACACAGACACACACACACACAGACGGACACACAGACACACAGACACACTCACACACACAGACACACACACTCACACACACACAGACACACACACACAGATGGACACACAGACACTCACACAGACACACACACACAGACACACACACAGACACACACATAGACACATAGAGACACACACACACAGACACTCACACAGACACACACACACACACTCACACAGAGACACAGACACACACAGACACACACACTCACATACACAGACACACACACAGAGACACACACACACACAATCACACAGACACACTCACACACAGACACACTCACACACAGACACACACACAGACACACAGAGACACACTCACACAGAGACATACACACACACACACTCACACAGACACAGACACACACACACAGACATACTCACACAGACACACACACAGACACACTCACAGACACACACACACTCACACACACAGACACACACACAGACACACAGAGACACACACACAGACACAGACACACACGCACAGACACACTCACACACAGACACAGACACACACAGACACACACACACACAGACACACTCACACACAGACACACACATAGACACACAGAGACACACTCACACAGACACACACACTCAGACACAGACACAGACACACACGCACAGACACACTCACACACACACACACACACACACACACACACACGCACACACAGTGTCTTGATGCAGTGACCCAGCGGGGTTTGCCCAGGAATGCAAGGATGGTCCGCCGTTGAAAACTGGCTGATGCAACACCCCCCTCAGCAAAGCACGGCACGAACCCAGGTCCCCATCTCCACAGACGACAGAAAACACCGATTAGAGGGAGGAGAGCTGGGAGCCTCCCGGTGGCCCAGCACGTCGCCTGCCCACGGCGGTCCCAGCAGCCCCCGGAAGCTCCCACGTCTGCCGCCGGCGGCACAGCCCGCACGGGGAGACCGAGCGCCGAGAGCACCGAGGACCCAGCTTAGACCACAGGGCGCATCTCAAGCTGCAGTAAAATGTGGTTCCTGCTGCGTACGCCCCTCACAGACCTGGCCACTGGGAACCCCGTGGTGGTGGGGGGGGGACCAGGAAACTCTCGGGGGAGCTCAGTTCTGTGCCTGACCGGCTGGGATGCCGGCTGACGGCACTCCCAGCAGTGGCCCCGGCACTGAATGGCACGGTTACTGATGTGAACACATCCACAAACAAGGGAGAGGAAAGGCAGGCGGGCCCGGCGGCTCCGGGTCGGCCGTGAGAGAAGCCAGACACTGCTGAGGGGACGTTCTGGAACAGCCAGAAGACCCGCGCGGGGGGAGCGGGGAGTGTCTCGGGGCCACAGAATCACCTCCCTCTCATGTGCCAACGGGGCCTCCCCCTGAGGCTCACAGGTTCTCTGTTCACTGACCCCAGGAAGTGAGTCAGTCGCCCCCCAGCTGATTGGGCCAAGGACTCAGGGCGCCAGGGGCAGAGGGTGAGACGCACTGCTGCTCGGAAGCTGGGAGGCCCCGCATCCTGGCAGCGGAGGCTGAGGCCGAGGCCCAGGCACCCGGAGGCCGCCCCGGAGGCTCTCAGGGACTAGCCCACCCCCCCCCTCGCATGGCACCTGGGGTGCCGGCGCCCTCCTGGGTGCTTGGAAGGACAGACACAACAGGACCGGCACCTCCTTCACCCAGGCCGCTGCCAGCGGTTGTTTCAAAGGGGAAGTTACATCCCCCGGAGGCCAAGGCCAGGCCAGGGCCATGCACACGCCTGCTCCGGGCCCCGAGGCGGCTGAGCTCTCAGAGGCTGCAGGGACCACAGCTGTGGGCCGCTCTCCCCGACGCCCCCCACGTGGCTGCACGTGGAAGGTCAGAGGGCAGCGTGGCCTTGTAGGGTGCCCAGAGTGGGGCCGGCCGGGTGGGGCTGGCACACGGGAGCACGGGGAGGGCGCTGGAGCAGCCTGGCGCAGCTCAGCCCCCAGGGTCCCCCGGGCTTTTAAAGAGGAGGCGGCCTGTTCTCAGACCTCCTGGGCAGCAGCTGCCTCTGCTTCCAGCATCTGCTGGGGCCGAGCTGGGCGGGACGCTGGGCCGAGGCAGGGGGTCAGGCACAGGCGGGGGCCCCTCTGCTCAGGGGACAGGGCAGGGGCCCGGCGGGGCCACCCCACCCCCCAGGCCCTGTCGGTTCTCTTCCCCACCTACCTCCCCCGGGGCCAGGCGGCCGGCCCTGCCTCACTGCCACCCAACCATGACCCAACGTGGTCCTTGTTCCGGTCCTCCTGCTGCCTTCTCCCAGTGTGAGGGCGGGGCACCCCATCTCAGTCACCACTGCTCACAGCGTGAGCGCAGACCTGCCCAGGGAGCCAGGGGCCCACAGGCAGACCCTCCCCGCCCTCGGTGCCCGCCCCGGTGCCCGCCCTCCCGAAACCAGCGCGGACCCAGGCCCCTCTGCCTGGGCCTGCAGGCGCCCTGCTCTCGCGCCCCAGGGCTGGATGGAGCAGGACTGACCTGAGCCCCTGGGGCCAGCACCCAGCTACGCCTGGCGAGGAGGGGGCCTTGTGAGAGGGGCGGGGCCCCCTCAGCCCCTCGGCACCCCCAGCAGGGCCCGTCCTTCGATGGGGCCTGGCCCACGGCGTCACTGGCATCACCGGGCCCGGGGCATGCTGGGAACACGCAGGGGCCGCAGCTCCAACGCCACTGGCTCTCCGCATGTTTACTTGTGGTTTCCAAAGCGAGGGGCTGGCCGCACGGGCCCTGCCGCCTGTTCCCCAGGAGTGCGGGGGCGGGGGTGCCGGGGGGGGGGTCACCCGTGTCCCCCTTCTGTGGTGGGTGCTCCTCAGATCCCCCTCCCTCCCATCGGCAGGGGAAGCTGGGCCAGAAGGAGAAGGGGGTCCGGGAGTCCTGAGACCATCCCAGACTCGGCCAGCCTAAAGCGAGCACAGCCGACCCTCAGCGGGGCTCAGCTGGGACCCATGCCGCCCGGCCTCAGAGGGGCTGACAGGGGCTCCCGGACCCGGCCAGGCCAAGGCCCGGAAGGAGCTGGGGTAGCAGCCCAGCACCCCGGGGCAGCCACGCGCCCGCTCACCCCCACGGCCCCTCCCCCACTACCCTCTTCCCAGCATGCCCAGCGCCCAACGATGCCAGCGACGTCACTGCCAATAACCTAGATTTTAACCAAGAAATCACACCCCCTCCTGCCCCACTTATGGCTCCGGAGGCGAGGGCCGGGCTGGGCGCCCTGGCCAGCGTCAGGCTGCACCAGTCCTCCTGCCCCCGGTCCCCAGCTCCCCAACACCCAGGGAGGGGGGCAGGGCGGGGGCTCGGGACTCCCACCTGCCCCCACCCAGGGGCGAGCCTCTGCAGGTGCACAGCTTGGGGTGGTCCAGGCCCTGGCCTCCCGGGACCGGCACCCTGTCTGGGTCCTGGGTGGGGCTGGGAGAGGCTCAGGCACTTCGGGGCCATGAGACAGCTCCCCCCTCCCCCCGCCCCTCCATGGCCACTTCTGTTGGCTCCTTGGAGCCCATGGATATGGGCGGCCAGCCCTGACCAGGCTCTTCCAGAGGGGCAGGTGGCCAGCAGCCAGCAATCCCGGCCCGACGTTTCCGCTTCCCCTCGACACGCCACGCGGCTGCGGGTTGCCGGGAGGGCAGTCCCCAATGTGCACCATCACGGCCCCAGCAGCAGATCCTGCCCTGACCCCCCCTTACCTACTCCCCCCCTGGGGCCCCACTCAGCTGCAGCTGAGAACAGGGGCACTCGGGGGCGCGGGGTCTGCCCTGGGCCAGGGCTGTCTCCCAGGGAGGGGAAGCTGTGGCGGCTGCCCAGTGTGGGGCTCCCCGTGCCCCCCCCCCCGGCCTCCCTGGTGGCTGTCCGCACACACTGGCGGGTGCCTGGTGGTCCCTGCAGGGCCTGAGGCCCACCTGGCCTCAGGAAGGCCCGGCCACTGCCTGCAGGTTTCCTGGTCAGTGCCCACGGGCCTCGCGCCAATACGACCACACGCGTTTAGCCCCCCACCCGCCTGTGGGAGGGACCCCGCTGGCTGGCCTGGAGACCCGGCCCCCAGTTCTCGATGGCCCAGCCGCCCTAGGGCCCAGCTCGGTGCCCTGCCCCCAGGATGGAGGGAGGAGCCCTCGGGGCATGAGGACCGGGGGGCGCGGGGAGAGTCCCCACTGCCCGGGGCCCAGTGCTGGGCGCTGCTTCCCGCGGGCCCGTGTGTCCGGATCCAGTGCCCTGGACACGGGCCCGCCTGCAAACCAGGACAGGCAGCAGGTCCAGGCACATGGCCAGATTTCGGGGAACACAGGAGGCAGGGGGACACCTGATCTGGGGCCCCAACAACAGGACCCTCAGCCCGACAGACTGCACCCTCTCCAGGGACCGTGACGTGGTCTAAAGAGGGCATCTCGGGTTTGTGGGTCCCAGAGGGCCCTGCCCGGGGGCGGCCGGCGGGCTGGGGCCGGGAAGCTCTGCCTTCACTGCGGGGCAGACGGGGCCTCTGCGGCTGCAGCAGGTGAGGGACCAGCTTGGGTCACACAGTGTCTTGTGAGCCTGCTGGCAGGGCCCTGGTCCACTGGGGCCCTCCGTCTCTTCATCTGTCCGATGGGAGGCAGGGCCTCTGACAGGCTTTGCTAGCTGCCAGCGGGCTCTGCTCCGCTCTGCTCTGCCCTCCTGCGGCCCCTCGTCTCACCGAGGATCAAGTTTAAAGCCCTCGGAGGAGGCCCTGGAGCCCGGCCCAGGACCTGCCCCGCTCAGGTCTTGGCTCCTGCTGGCTCTGCCGTCTGGGTTTTGGGGCCCCGTTCCTCCCACCCCCCGCACACCTCCAGCACTGTGGCCGCCAGCTGTCCCCGACCACCTGCCTGTGCCCGCGTGGGGCGGAAGCTGGGCCGGAGCCGGCCTCGCCGGCGGGCGGGCGCGAGCGTTACCTGCGTAGCCGCCGGACGCTTTGATGTACATCTGGCCGTACTGCTCCTCCGCCATCGTGTCGTAGGCCTCGTCCTCCTCCTCGTCATCCTCGTTGTGGTACGAGGTGGGGCTGTCGGTGGTGGGCAGGCTGCTGGCGCCGGGGCTGGTCCGCTCCCCCTGGGGGTAGGGCACCTGCTGGATGCCGGGGATGAGGGTGGCCAGGCCGGGCACCCCGTAATAGGAGACGCGGGGCAGCTTGAGCGGGGCCGGGCCGGCCGCCACTGCCACCGCGGTGCCCGCCGCGCCGTCCCGGGGCCCGGGCTCCAGCGGGCGCTTGGCGGCCAGGCCCGGGGCGGCGGCAGCCGGGGGCAGCTCCGAGGCTTCGTGCTTCACGCGGGTCAGCAGCGGGATGGGCACGGCGGGGGACACGGCGTAGGGGGGCGCCGGCGCGGCGGGCGGCAGCTGGTGGCAGGGGCTCTGGGGCTCGGAGCCGGTGTCCTCCATGGCGGCGGTCTGCGAGTCGCAGTGGGGCGAGCTCACCTTGAAGAGCAGGTCGGTGCCGCGCTCCACGATGTGCTGGATCTGCAGGAAGCCGGCCGTGTACATGACCACGAGCTGCTCGCTGGCCGCCATGGTCAGCCGGCCCGTGTAGCAGAAGGACAGGATCTGCTGGAAGCAGGCGGGCGGCACCGAGCCCGGCAGCTCGAAGGCGCTCTTGCTGTTGCCGCTGAACAGGTCGCGGAAGTACAGGCTGCTGGCGGCCAGCACCGCCCGGTGGGCCTTGAAGGCCTGGCCCTTGACCACGATGGACACATCGCAGTAGAGGCCCAGCAGGCGCTGCTCGTTCAGGCAGCCCAGCACCGTGTTCCCGAAGTTGGGGATCTCAATGTGCAGCATCTGAGACATGGCGGGCGGCGGGCGGGCGCGGGAGGCCTCCGACTCTCAGCGCGGGAGCGGCCCCAGCGGGCACATCTGTGGGCGAGAGCGGGGGCCCCGGGTCAGCTTCCTGGACGCCCAGGGCCCCCCACCCAGCAGGAACCCCCACCCAGCTCCCCGAAATGCACACACCCAGCCCATGGCTCCCGGACCCCCTGCAGCCAGAACTGTCCAAAGGTCTTGGGGGGACCCTGGCTGGGCCCTCGCTCAGAGCTGCACAGAGGCTGGAAGCCCAGAGCCCGCTCTGTCCCCCCCACCCTTGGGGAGAGGGCGAGCCCTGGGGGACACCCACAGAGCAGAGATGAGGAGGCCTGCACCGCGGAGGGAGCTGGGAGGGAGGGGGCTATCAGCCCGGCAAGCGGGAGGGGGCGGGCTGATAGCCGCTCGCACAACTCTTTCCCAGGAAAAAGTTGGCAGCCAAGCAGCCCCTCACCCGCCTTTCCCCAGGGAGGGGCCGGGACCGGGAGCGAGGGGCACAGCCCCCCGGCACCCCAGGCTCTGGGTCTCCGGTTTGTTTTCCCCGGAGGAGCAGCGGCGGCAGTGGCGGCAGCGCAGGGGACGGCTGGGGGCGCCCGGGACGGGAGGGGGAGCTGGGAGAACTCCGGCCGGCTCTGCCCCTCCCGTCCTGCAGAGGAGACTCCGGGCGGAGGGGCTCCCGCCCGCGCTGCCCGGCTGCAGACCAGGGAGCCTGCCCGGCCCACCTGCCCCGCCCGCCCCGGCCCTAACCCGGCCAGTCCTCATGGCTGTGTCCCCAGCCCAGGTGACTGCGGGGTCACGGGGACCGGCGCTGGGATGCCGCTGGCTGGGCGCCCCGGCCGGCCGGCGGGGGATCCCGCGGGGTTCGGAGGGGACGGGGCGGGCGGGCGGCCGCAGAGGGCGCCGATCAACTCCGCCGCGGAGCCACACAAAGGGCGGCTCTGTCCGAGGAAAGTGCCGGAGCCGCAGAGGCTGGGCGGCCGCGGGGGGCAGCGCGAGGGCGGGGCGCCCGGACCGGACGGAGTTGGGCAGGTGGGCGGCCCGCCCCCGCCCCCGCCCCCGCGGTGCCCCCGCTGCGGGGAAGTTGCCGGCCAGGCCGGAGGGGGACCTACCTCTGGCCGCCGCCGCCCGGGGCCCCGCACTGCCCGCTCCGCCGGCCGCCGTGCCCGCAGCCGCCAGCTGCTCGGGGAATGCAGCAAACGGCGCGGGAGCCGTGGGGCGGGGAGGTGCGGAGCCGGGGGGAGGGGCGGGGGGGCAGCGCGCGGGCAGCCCGGCTCAGCTGCACCCAGCCCGGCTCTCCCTCCAGGCAGCGCGCAGCATCTAAATGAAGGGGCCGGATGCGGACGGACATCCAGGCAGCACGGGGATGAATAGCCGCCTTTGACGGGCGAGCCGGGGCCCCTGCCAGCGCCCGGGCCGGCTTTGAAAACAGCGGCATGGTGTGCCAGAGGAATGCAGGCTCCGGGTGTTGGTACAAGACAGACTTTTGATGACTCACTGCAATGCAAACAAAGATGGCAGAAATACTGTACTGTACGCCGGGACGCGGGAGCCGCGGGAACGGGGCGGCCTGGGAATTTATGTGCCGCTTTGTGCAGGCGCCGGCCCTGCAGCCGGGGTGTCAAAGCATCTGAACTATTCCAAACAGTCCGCAGCGCGGCAGGCCGCGCCCGCCCGCCGTGGGGCGGGGGTGAGGGGCAGGAGCCGGGCGAGGGAGGGGGCAGAGGGAGGGGCAGGGGCAGATGAGGATGAGCCTGGAGCCCCCAGACCCTGTGGGGAGGCAGAGGCGGTGCCCGTTCCCTCCAGTGCGGGGGGGGGGGGGGTGCCCCGCTCCCCGAGTCTCCTTGGGGACCAGAGCAGCAGGCTCAGCAGGTCCCGCCCAACACCCCCACCCCACCGCCCGGGGGAGTCACGTCCCCAGCCCTCCCTTGGATCAGAATGTAAGCACTGGGCAGCCAGGGGGGCTAAGGACCGGCCGGCCCGCTACGGACCTGCCCCAGCAGACAGGGCAGCAGAGCAGCCTGGACTGCCCTGTGGGCCACAGTGCCAACCTCCCCTGGGCCCGTCCTGCCCCAGAGCACGGCCCCTCCTCGGCTGGGCTGCCCAGTGGGCCCCGGGGCCAAACAGCCTCCGTGTCCCCACCTGCCAACTGTGGCCGGAGCACGACCACGGCAGCCACAGGAGGGATGAGGTCGCCATGAAGGTGGCCCAGGTCTGGTCCCTGCAGCGACACATCCCTGTCCTCACCTGACGGTCAGCCCTGTGGCCAGAGTGGGGAGGCAGCAGGGAGGAGGCTGGGCAGGCAGGTCCATCCCGTGACCCCCCCCCCCCCCAGCCTGCAGGAAGCAGGAGAGGAAGCCATGGAGCTCCCCATCTCCCCCACCCCCATATGAGGAGCCCCAGGTGAGAGGAACTAACGGGGGGGGGGGTTCCACACAGGGACTGGGATTGGGGCACTGGCAGGAGTGGCCAGGGTACACCAGCGAGGGGATGGACTCGGACCCCCCCCACACTGACCGGCAGCTCCACACACTTCGGACCCCATGGCGGGGCCGGCGGGCCGAACCCCAGCCTGTCCTTGCCTGAGTCCCGGGGGCCTGAGTGTGTGAGCCCAGAGGCCGCACAGGGAGAGAGAGGGACCCAGACACTGGGACGGGGAGGGAGGGGCGCACCCTGGCCGGGGCCCCAGGACTCAGCCGGCCTCTGCTCCCGCAGCTACGGCAGCCTCATACGGAGACTCCACTGCCTTCAGGCCCTCCCCACTGCCGCCGCCTCCAGGAAGCTCACCGGGCGCCTCAGGAGCGGGGAGCACGGGGCCCGCCCAGTGCCTTCGGAGCATTTGCTGACGCCGGGCGTGGTCAGGCACAGGAGGGGGCGATGCTGCCAGCTCACAGCCCAGCGTGGAGGGCCCCCCACAGGCCCCCATGCCCTCAGCCCTCACCGTGGGGAGCCCCACCAGAGCACCACGGGGTCACCTGAGCCAGACGGGGGGTGCCTGGCCGGGCGAGTGGAGGCCAGCAGAGGCGTGCAGTGTCCCAAAGGCCCGGGGCTGGGCAGGCCAGGGGCATCCTGAAGGCAGCCTGGGTGACAGCACGAAGCCTGGGCACCTGTCCCTCCAACAGCCGGTCCCAGGTCCCACGGGCACCACTCCCTGTGCCAGGCCCTAGCCCCGCCCTGCCACGTCCACGTCCAGATCCACATCCATGTCCACATCCATGTCCTGTGGCCTCCAGTGAACGACAGAGCCCAGGACCTCACAGGCACCACCCCCTGTGCCAGGCCCAGGCCCAGGCCCTGCCACACCACGCCCACGCCCACGCCCACGCCCACGCCCACGTCCGTGGCCTCCGCGGACGGCAGAGCCCGGGACCTCACGGGCAGCAGGTCAGGGCTCTCGGGCGGTCAGTAAAGCCCTCGGCCGGCGGCACTCGCTCCGCCAGGTGAGCTGTTACCTGCCGTGACCCGGCGGGAGGCGGCAGTCCAGGGGGCGGCGCAGCCACGCCGCCCCCTCCCCGGGCCCTGCGGCTCAGGGGCCGCGCCCGGGGCTGGGACCGGGCCGCCGGCCAGAGAAGGGCCATTCTTCCCGGGAAGGTGCGGGCTCGCGGCCCCGGGGCCGAGGGGGACTGGCTGGCCGCCGTGTCCTCCTGCCACCTTGCGGGCGAGGCTGGCGCCCGGGGCCGGCCCAGGGGAGCCCGGCAGCTGGTTTTAGGTTGCTTTCTTAGAAGCCTCGGCTGGGGCGGGAACAAAGCTGAACTTTAGGAGAAAAGAATGAAATAAAGGCTTGGTTTACCCTGTGCGGCAGCCAGCGGGGGGGGGGCCCGGGCCAGAGCAGCCACCTGCCAGGAGGGGGGCCCCCCTCACCTTCCCTGCCAGCGGGCCTGCCTGGCACCTCGTCCCTCTGTCCACCTGCCCCCCGACTGCTTCCCCAGCGATGCCCCCTCTTCCGTCTCCCTCCACAGGAGCGCCCCCTCCACCCCCACCCCCACTGTTTGCTTCCAGGAGGTCAGGAGAGATCCCTCAGTTCCTGTGCCCATCCTCAAAGCGACTGCACCACGGAACCCCCTCCCCAGAACGCCCTTCAGAATGGAACCCCCTTTTGGCACCCCCCTGCTGACACCACGAAGCCAGAGTCCAGCCTGGGGGCACCCATGTAGACCCAGGACCTCCGCGGGATGAGAAGACGTGGGTGACCAGCGGTCTCTTCTCTGGACCCTCCCTCTGGACACGGGGTCCCAGGCCCTGAGGTGTCGGCCCCCCAGACACTGCAGCCCCTGCAAGAAGGGGCAGGCACAGGCTCCGGGAGTGCAGGCACCCGTGTGCGCCAACACACACACTCCCATACACGCACACACCCTCGTGCACACGTGTGTGTGCACACATGCACTCGTATATGTACATGTGTACATACTCATGCACACACACGTGCATGCACTCATGGGCCCAGGGACCAGCTGGGCTGAGTCCACAGAAGCCCAGCGGCCCCGCCCCTGCCCCCCATCCCTCCCAGTCTAACCGTCCCCACGGCGAGGGCACAGCCAGGCGCAGGGCGCGGGTTTGATTTCTGTGGGATCACCACCACAGGAACGGGAGGTGAGATAAATTAAATAAAATAAGATGATTTTGCAGGATTTAATTTTGCCAATCTAAAGAGGTCTGGACCTCAGCTAACGCGCAGTCATCAAACACACCACGGAAGGGGGAGGGGCGGGGCCGGAGAGAACAGAGCGCCCCCCCCCCCCGCCCCGGCCCCTCCCTGGCAGCCCCGGCCCCCAGGCCCCCAGCCTCCTGTCTCAGCAGAAGCTGCTGGTGGCAGGGACACCCCCCCGAAGAGTTTGGGGGAAGGACCCGTGGCCACACCCCCAAGATGGTGTCTTGCAGGGAGGCAGCAGGTTCCTCTGTGAGTCAGCATGCACACACACGGGAGCACACGCCTCAGGAACAGGCCCAGCTGCTGTGTGCACACACGGAGCACACGCCTCAGAAACATGCCCCACTGCTGTGTGTGCACACGGAGCATACGCCTCAGGAACATGCCCAGCTGTGTGCACATACGGAGCACACGCCTCAGAAACATGCCCCACTGCTGCGTGTACACAGGGAGCACACGGAGCACACACTTCAGGAACAGGCCCAGCTGCCGTGTGCACACACGGAGCACATGCCTCAGAAACATGCCCCACTGTTGCGTGCACACAGGGAGCACACGGAGCACACGCCTCAGAAACATGCCCCACTGCTGCATGTACACAGGGAGCATACGCCTCAGAAACATGCCCCACTGCTGCGTGCACACAGGGAACACACGAAGCACACACTTCAGGAACAGGTCCAGCTGCTGTGTGCACACACGGAGCACACGCTTCAGGAACAGGCCCAGCTGCTGTGTGCACACACGGAGCACACGCCTCAGAAACACGCCCCGCTGCTCTGTGGAGGCTGATGGGGGTGGGGGGGGCTTCACTTTGGACAGCGGCCTGCAGAGCCGCTGCCTTGCTTTTCCATCACGGCTCAGGCCACGGCGCTGCCTGCAGGAGGGAAGCGCCCGGACCTCCTGGTGCAGAGCAGGCGGAGGGTGGGGTGGGCCCTCTGGGGGCCGAGGTGCCGGTTGGCTTGAGGCTGCCCAGCTCGGCATGCCAGGCCCCGGGAGCTAAGCAGAGCCCCGCCTGCTCCAGGCTTCGGTTTCCATTACAGTTAATGCACCATCAGCAGGGCCGTTCCTCCTAGGCCTCCCCTCATGGGGGCCAGCTGCCCGTGAGCCCCGAGAAGCAGGAGCAGGGCTCCAGGGCGGGGTCTCGGCTGCCAGGAGCCCCTCCCCCGGGCCCCAGCCCACCCCCTCCAGGTGGGCGCAGAGAAGGAAACTGAGGCGCTGAGAGGGCCAGGGCACCCCATCCCCACGCTCCCTGCCTCCTCTGTGCCCCCACAGCCAGGACAGAGCCGGAGGACGGAGCCTGCCCAGCTGTTGGGGCTCTGCTGAGAGACAGGGGTCCCACCCCGGCCTCCGCACGGGGCTGCTCTGCTCGGGAGACCCCAGAACGGAGGGCCCCCCCGGACCCCCCTCCCAGGCCCCGCCCGGCTCCGAGTCCCGGCCTGAGAGGCAGAGGTGAGAGGCCTCGGGCAGCCGGCCAGGCACCTGGGCAGCCTCTGCCCAGACCACAGCCTGGGCCGGTGGAAGCACAGAAGCCGGTTTTAACTGCATAACAAACGTCTGCCTGGAAGCTCTTCTTCCCAAACACGGAGGGCAGCATGCCAGGCTCTGCAAACCCAGAGCGGCGCCCAGGAGAGGCAGGACCAGCCTGTCCCCAGACCCAGCACCAGCCAGGGCACCCCCACCCCGGCCCCGAGGCCCAGGGAGCCCCCACCCCAGACCCCAGCATCAGCCAGGGCACCCCACCCAGCACCAGCCAGGGCACCCCCACCCCAGCCCCGGCCAAGGCACCCCCATCCCAGCCCCAGCACCAGCCAGGGCACCCCCACCCCAGACCCAGCACCAGCCAGGGCACCCCCCACCCCAGCCCCGAGGGCCAGGGC